TTAAGTTAGCAGGACTGGCCTAAGGGTTATTTTAATTTGGTTTAAAAGAAATTTTTTGAATTTTCGGCCTTAGAATAATATTTCATTTTAATTAATATTTTAAATTTTGTATTTCTGTATTCAAGTATTTGTTTTTAAATGGTTGTAAGCCGCCCTGAGTCCGCAGGGAGAAGGGCGGGGTAGAAATACAAGAAATAAAAAAATAATTAAAATAAATAAAATAAAATAATAATATTGACAATGTTATGCTATATGTTTGTCTATGCAACGTTAAATGAATTTTATCAACCATGTAGTTCTGATCATGTTTTTACAACAACAGTTTTGCTGTCCTTCACTGAATAGATTGGAGCTAAACAGTTTACCATCTAATTGGGAATTTGGAATACAAATTCCACAATCCCTTATTATTGACCTTGTGGCTTATGCCAACAGAATTAGGAGTTGGCATGACTTGTTTTAAGGCTAATAACATTTAAAGAAAAAATGTGTTTAGTATGTAAATTTACTAACAATGTACCAGAAGCTATATTATAAAAATAAAGCTTTGGGGAAACTTTATTAAAAGCATCAACTATCATAAGTTACAGACTGTCAACATCTGTTTGTAAGTGCACCTTTGCCAGCAATTGAATGTTAGCTACAGTAATTATAAGAACTATATAAAGTGAGCAATGGCTAATTTATGGTACAGGGACACAAAAGGACAATATAATAGGACATGTTATAACGCAATGCTTTATAAGGAACTCTGTTTAACTCGGGATAATTAAAATTATGATAATAGAGAAATGTTTTGAGGTTCATTACAGCTATATAAGAGATAAGGAAATGATATATTTTGCAACGAGACATGGGATTTAGAGTTGAAATCTTTGCAAAATACTGTACAAAGTAATATATTTCCAATTTTCTAAGATCTCAGTGTTTTGTAGCACATTGACATATTTGAGAACCTAGAAATTGATGAGAGCGTAGGAACATGAATTTCACATCAATTCATTATCTTAGTATTATAATTTTATGTTTAAAAAAGGACCTTTATTTAACTGTGAACATTTATGAGCATGAAAATAGAGGGTCAATTTTATGAGCCCAATTTTTCAGTATCTCTGTACAAATGTACAGATTATGAGGAACAAACAAGCAAATCGAAATCTTAATGTAGGTCCACAAGTACGACATAGGAGGCTTTACTGAAATTTGTTATGGGTTATATCTCATATTTTACATCAACAATGGTCTCTTTCATTTATGTTTAGATCAGTTCTGTTCAATTATTGTGAACTATGTTATGTACTCTGACAATAATTAATTATGAAAATAAATTAATACCTTGGGAAAACATCTGTTAACAATACCAATAGCAATATAGATCTCAAAATATAGATAACAGTATTTTATAGACTATAGATTACACTGCAGTATAACGACTATGAAATCTATGGTTGCTTCATAATTATTATGAGCCTATTTACCAACAGAATCACATGAGCATGTATGTACATAATAACTTTAGCAATGCTTCATCCAGATTTTAACTTTAAGGTTCTGTTTTTCTCTCCCCTAGCAGCAAACCAATTAATCTATTCATCTTTGAAAATAGGGTACAAGTATAGGTTGGTAAACCATGATGGCATTAATTGTCAATTGCTGTTTATATTATTGTCATACAAAATTGGCTTTTTGTAAGATATAGTCTGGATGAATCTGGTGAAGCAAAAGCAGTATGTGATAGTCAGGTTCTAAGCGTTATGTAGTCATATATCAATAAATTTTATCCTGTGGATGGAAGGCCAATTCAATATGATTTTAGTAGATGAGATGAATAAATCAGTGATAGTATGTAGCTGCAGAAAAGAAAAAAAACAGTCATATGTTACCATAAAGCATGCCATCTGAAATCATGGAAAAATAATAATTAGATTCCTTTGTGTTTTATATAACTACCTTGACTACTGCATCCACTTTTGGATAACCATGTTAAGAAAGATTCATATGAAAAAGAGAACAACAGAAGCTTGAGGGAGCTGGATAGATTTGGCCTTACAATGGATGATTTTGTAGAACATGATGGCATTCTAGAAGACTTGAAAACTTCTTAAACTTAATTTAACTGAAGAAGACCATTCTATAGTTCAGGTCACAAAGCAGTTTCTACATGAATTTTACTAAAAACTTCCAAACGTCGTTTCACAGTGGAACTGAAGAGCTCCCCCTTTTGTAAATATGACAAGAGTAATCTGCTTTCATCTGGATTCCTGATAGCTTTAAATGGTTCTTTCTATCTCTTGAATTTGGTACATAGGCTTTTGTTATAACTGTCATATATGTTTTCAAGGATTATTTATAACCATAATGGCAATGCTATTATTTATTTTGATTAAACAAAAGCTTCATTTTCAAACCAATCTTTTCTACCAGATTCCAAATTTGTGTCTCAATCTTGGGAGATAACATGAGGCAAATAGCTAGAGAGTCTGAAAACCTGTATACATTGCTTTATGATCTGGTATAGGTTTGGTGATTAGTTACATTCTTTAACTGAAATTGTTTTTCTGAAATAAATTTATAGCCTTGATAGTACTAGAAATTTGAACTGGTATTCCTATTTATCTTAAAGTTGCTTTACTATTCCTTCTGTTGCTGTAGTCTTTTCTTTATACATACTAACATTTTGGGACAGAATTATGTCATAAAATGCATCATTGATAACTATGAAGAACTTGTGCTACCCATTCAAGTACTACAGAATTTTGTCCTAAAACAATATTAATCATTTGATATTTTATTGTTTGGTGTTTCAGTTTCAGATTGAAGTTAAAAATTCAGTTGTATCTTTTGTACCATTAGATTGGATTAAAGTTAGCAGGTATGTAGTTTAATATAAATCCTAACACAATTACTATTTATTGTATTAATTACTTCAGTGATGCTTATATATTGATGTTTCTGATGATAGAACTTACATTATAAAGTGCTGAAGTAAATATATGAATCAGTATCTATTTTTACAATATCATTTTTGATGTGCCCCTAGCAACAAAATAGACCATACAGTTTTCTTGGCAATATTTTTGGAAGTGGTTTGTCATTGTCTTCCTAAGACAGAGAGAATGACTGGTGTAAAGTTACACACTTGGCTTTATGCTAACCTTGGCTCTTTTATGACTCGTGGATTTCAATTCCCAGAATTCCTGGCTCAGGAATTCTGGGAGTTGAAATCCACAAGTCATAAAAGAGCCAAGGTTGCCTACCTCTGAGATAGGACTAAACTTTATGGCATCCTGGTTTCTAGTTCAGTTTCTTTAACCACTGTGTCAAATTGACTGACATCAGTATTACAGACCATAAGGATTTGGGGCAATATTAGAAGAATTATGCAAACTTATTGGAAGATGTAATTTTTTCATTCAGTCTTACATTTTCCAAACTACACCTGGTGATAGGGTATTAGGAAGTAGAGAGGATGTTATGGAAAGTAAAGGCCAAACTGGTCCCAGTGGTGGTAGGAGCACTTGGGGCTGTGACTCCAACAGATCCCAGGAACAACATCAGAGCTCTTTGTCCAGAAGAGTACAGAGCTAGGAGCAGCTCCCAGACCTATGGTAGAGAAGCCGAGATTTAGGAAGACACAAACCACCCATACAAGTGAGAAGGGTATGTGTATATATATATGTACACACAGACACAAACATAGAGAGAGAGAGACAGAGAGAGACAGACACATTATAATAATGAACTTTCAGAAATACTAATCCTAAGAAGGTACTGACCTAATTTTAATTTTATGCACTGAAAAATATATTGATTAATCATGTTTATGTCCTGTTTGATTCTTTCTTAAAGCACAAAGGTTGTGAGCCGTTTTCACACTCCTTTTATTATAGAAAATTACAGAAAGCTAAATCAACTACGTGAGCAACTGGTCTTTGACTGCAATTCTGCATGGCTATGTTTTTTAGAGTAAGTTTACAAACTCTATTTTTGTTATTGTAATAAGTAGGTTTTGGAATAGAAACAGATTATGATAACTGATATATCAAAAGTTAATGGATATTGTATAATTTAGCCGAAAATAATTCTTGCATTTTTAATGGGAATAACCTTAAAATTCACAAACAGTATTTTAAAGGAGTTTAGATATTTTTGAGGACTTAGATTACTGATAAGCAACATGGTGCTCATTGGCACTTATTGTATGTGCGTCAAAATATACTTTTTGGTGCTTATTAAGATCCATGATTTTCTCAGTTTTTTTAAAAAAATATTTTCTTAAATTCATAACATACATAGGATGGTGGCATTCTGCAAAATAAAGATACAATATCTTACATCATATTTATTTGCAACATACTTTTGGCCTCAGGGCCCACTAGATAGCAGAAAGCATTGATATAGAGAAAGTTCATCTTTTGGGGAATTTTCTGTCTTGTGATGCTCATTGTGGCAGCCATTTTGTAAAATACAAATCTTTTGGCATGACAATAATTTTGTGAATATGTCTACAACATACTTTCATAATTTCAAATATGTCCCCAGTTCAAAATATTTGTCCACAGATAACTTAATTTATTATTTTGGTGACTCACAGAGCAGCTCACAGAGAACATCAGAAATGTGGATGATCTGTAATTTGTCTGAATAAGTAGCAGGACATAAACAGTTGTACCAAAGTATTCTAGATGATATCATAAGCTAAACATTACACAAGGATTGCCAAATCTGTGCTGCAAAATCTTGCTGTAAGTCCAGATGAAACTGTTTTTCTTTACTACTTTGGTGCCATCTTATGGTTGTCTGGATTTTTTCAGCTTAGATTAGCTATCCCTAATTAACCGCACAATAAAATCCTTGACAGCTTTTTTTTTTAAAAAATGGTCAAATATAACAAACAAAACATAATTTAGAAATATAACAGTATTAATACAGTCATAAAATATATAAATATGTTTATATATGCATTACCATAAAATTCTTGAGAACTGAAAATTCTATACAGCTAGCCCTCGCTTAATGTCTCATAACCAAAATTACGGCTGTTGTAATTTCCTCGGGTTCACGTGATTGTAATCCAGGTGCTTGGCAACTTGTTCACACTTATGACTGGTTGCTAAATGCCCTGTGATCATGTGATCATCATTTGCAATCTTCCTTGCTGGCTTATCCAGAAAGTCATAAGGAAGCAGGCAGGGAAGCTCACAAGCTGCTTCCGGTTGCTGACATGACTTCCTCTGGTTTCTGGCTAAAAAAGGCCCATTCCCAAATCCATGCAAGAACTTAGTACAGAGCGTTTGCAGCACAGGGTATTTGTAGTCAGCTCTCAGAAATGAGAGGCAGTTCTCTTGTCTTAAGGGACTGGCTGCAAACACCCCATGCTTTAATCACTCTGTCCCAAAATCCTGCTTGTATTTCAGTGAAGAGCCTTTTCAGTCAGCCTCTTTGAGAACAACAAGGTTACCGGCCTGGGGTGGCACAGAGTCCCTCCAGCAGGCAGCTTTTTGAGAGCAAAGGGACTGCCCATTAGAAGGATTCATCCCAGTATGGGGACAAGTACTTCTGGCAGGCAGATCTTTCTCCCATCCCCTTAACAACCCTGGTGATTGCTTAATACCTGCAACCAGGATTGCGATCATTGAGTGAAGCAGTCACATGTCTTGCTTAATGATTGCTGCACTTAATGATTGAAGATTAAGTCTCAATTATTGTCAAAAGTAACAAACTACCTGTATTGACAGTTTTACTATTATTTTCATAATAATCCTTCATGATGAATCATTCGTCTCTTCTGATCACATTGCTGTACCCAGGCAGCTTTTGACAGACAAAAAAAAATCCCTTTGAAAAGTGCTACATTCCCTCTCAAAATTTCCAACCTCTTTGGATCATCTCTCAGTCTTTCATTATAAACAATCAAACCAATCAGAATTTCTTTTTTTCTGTGTCTGTGTAACTAGAGGTACGCTTAGATTATGTATTCAAAACAGACAACATATGTCAGAAACTTTGTATGGATGTAGCATTGTTGACTTGTTATAGCTTACTTGTATTAATATTTCATTCACTTTTCCCCCCAATGTACTTCTATTTAGTCATTTTAATGAGCATTATCATGCACTCTCTCAAGCTGTGGATCATCTAGCAACTGTGGACTGTGTTTTTTCCTTGGCTGAGGCTGCCAAACAAGGAGATTATTGCAGGTAATCATTTTTTTAAACAGTACTGGAATATTTAAGATAATATTGTGAATTTACAAAAGGGCTGATCATTCTTGCATGCCACATTTGAAAACCTAGTGACTCTCCTCCAGATCAGATTGTTTCTGCGTAGAATTGATGGAACTTTATTTATTATCAATGGGCTGGCTTGTTTCAAGATCAGTAAGGCAAATGTATGATTTGGGGTCTTTATTCCACATTCAGTCTGTAAAAATATTTGTTTTTCAGACCTGTCATAATAGATGAAAGATCAGAAATAATGATAAAAAATGGGAGACATCCTGTGATAGATGTGTTACTAGGAGAGCAACAGCAATATGTTCCAAATGATACATTCTTGTCAGTAAGTAAACTTTTAAGAGCTAAAATAATAAAACGATCATAACATTGTTTTTAGTTTTTAAGAAAACTGTTAAATATATGGCAACTGCATCCAAACACCAATTCCCATGGAATATTCCGAATATACCATTAAGATGCCTAGGTTTTTAGATAATTAAACTTAAGTTGTAGATTTAGAAAATGAAACATAAAATTACATAGTCTCACATTTATTTTTGTATTGGCTTTTTCTTTTCTGCATGCTCTAAAATATATGGTTTCAACAGACAGAGACAAATAAAACAGAACTCCGAGGCTTGCAAATTCGTCAAAGAACATGTTTATTAGTTACAGCACGGTCAAAAGTGAAACCAAGTCTGGATACACAAGCAACAATTCCCCAATACAAAGTTAAATGTCCCACCCACAAAAGCTATGTAAGCAACTACGTTCCCCAATATGATTATTTGGCGGGCTTTTTATGAAACGCCCAGTCTCTAGTCTCGGGAGTAGCCGATGATCTTGGTTCCCATGGGACAAAAGATTATTTGGACTAGCGAAGCACCTGGGCAACCCGCCTCCCTCTGTTCTATGTGGCAACTTAGAATGAGAAGGAAAATGGCTGCAGCCATGCTCATTTGTAGAGTTGACACAAGAGACTTGAGGTCTCTCCAGAGAAGATTTTGAGCCATGTGAAATGGCAGGGAGGAGGAAAAATCTTTCTGATTAGTCATCAATCTTTATCAGACAGAATATTATGTTTTTAATGCAAACATTTTGGGTAACCGCAAGAGTGTTACAGAAAAAGTGCTTCAAAGCATCTTTTCATAGTCCTCCATCCATGTTTAGATTTGAATGACAGAAATACATGTATGTACATAAATCCAGGCAAAGGATAGCAATTCATATAAACAAATCCTTCAATGCTGCTGCTTCCTGTTTGGAGAAGTGCTCTTATACAAGCAAGACTCCACATTTTTAATATAAAAAATCTTTTTTATAGCAGGATGATATACGTTTTTTAAAAAAAAAACAGTTCTAACAATGCCAAATAGCTATTACATTTGCTATTACACTTTCATTTGAATTGTAAATACTTTTGCGAAGAAGTGAAAGAAATCTTAGCAAGACACCCTAACTTAGCATTTTTTGGTGTAGTAATTTGGAATCTGTTTAGGTCAGACATGTCAAACTCGCGACGTCACGTGACGTTGCGCAACATATCGGGACGGTTTTGCCATTGCCGGCAATGGGGTGGGTGCGGCTTCCAGATGATGCCTCTGGCCTGCGGGCTGGCAGTTTAACACCCCTGGTTTAGGTGATCTGTATACGATCACCAAAGGTCTGAAACTTTTGCATGAGCTCTGTTTTAAAATAGTCTAATTATAGTGTTCATTTTCCAGGAAGATAGTCAAAGAGTAATGATAATTACTGGACCTAACATGGGTGGAAAGAGCTCTTACATAAAACAAGTTGCATTGATTACTATCATGGCACAGATTGGTTCTTATGTACCAGCTGAAGAAGTAAGAATTGGTATTGTGGATGGCATATTTACCAGGTAAGACTACAAGCACATTTTTTGGGTAGCTCTTATTTTTCAGTTTTAATATTATAAGGTTTTTTTTTAGAATTATCACAACACATTCACATTAACAATTTAAGACTATAGCAGTAATCCCCTTTCCTATACCTCCACTAGCCCATTGTGGGCACTTTTGTGACTAGGCTATCTAATTCTAATGTAGAAACCAATTAAAGAATGCTGCTGTTTTATGAAGAAAATCAGCCCCAGTTGCACATCACGTAATGGAATTAAAAAAAATTATAGCAGTTGCATAGCTCTGTTACAACCTTAATAAAGAGAAAATGAATTTCAAAAAAAGTTTGATATATTCAGATGCAGGTAGTTCTCAGTTAACAGTCACTTATTCTGTGACCATTCAAAGATACAATGGCATTGAATGAGTGGTCCTTACAACTGCTCCTCAAAGTTCTGACTTTCTCAGCAACCCCATGGTCATGTGATTGCGATCAGGGCACTTGGCAACCAGAAGCTAACAGAATAACTAGCTCATTATAATGATGTTGCAACATTCTGTGGTCATGTGATTGTCATTTGAGACTTTCCTGCCAGGTTCTCCCACAAGCAGAGTCAGTGGGGAAACTGGCAAGGAA